TTTCACAATTACAACCTATGTAAACCATTTCACATGGCGCATCGATTTTTTTGATACACTCTGAAACTATGAAAAGATCTTACCTTCTTCAACTTCTCCATCGGCGATCTCCTGATGTGATTCATTGACGCGATTCCTTGTTACACTTGTCAGATATCCGCAAACAAAATGGTAAGACAATTGGCTTCTGTCATTTCTCCATTTGGGTTTACTTCATGAAGGGTTCTGATGTGTACATTTCCGACAATTTGGTAAACTGAATTTCTAGGTGTTTTGACATTCACTGTGATTGTCAGTTGAATAATGCCATAAAGTCGTTCATTGTATCTCGCATGAAGTGCTGAATGAACCTGTGATGATCAACCCACACGATTGTGAAGGTGTTTGACTCTCAGTGGTGGTGTTTACTAATTGTATAAGTGTGGCAACGTGCCATAGACGGATAGAAATGTACTCATATTTATGTGAAGGTGGCCTGTTTCCTTTTTGACTTGACCGTCCGGGAATACACTGGAGTGTGTTTGTCCAGCATTATTCCTTTGGAATCTAAGCCATTTCAGAATTTTAATCACGCCCCTAATTACAAATCACATTGTTATTGAATAATTTTTCCTTTTGTCCCTTAAAATCAGAAACCAATCAATGATCCGGCTATGCACCTCCTCGAGGTACCAAAAGGTTTCTGTGAACCGGGAAGAAATGGAAGAAATCGATCTGAGATAGTGGTCCTGATAAAGTCCTGCGTTCGCTGCCAACAGGATCGTGCTGAGGCACGTAGAACCTACATGCAACCACATTTGTGGGGTGATTTTCGTATTCGATTCGTGTTTGTTACTGGAATGCCCTCGGTAGGTTACACCGGGAATATGCACTTTGACGGAGTTTCTGTCAAGTATCACAGTCATGGTAATGATAAAAAGGATTACGAACACGCCAAGAGAGAATTGTTCTCGGAGGCAAATCATTTTGGTGATTTGCTGATCGGTGATTTCGAGGATCACTACTTTTCGTTGACTATGAAACAGACATTCATATTTCGTTGGATCTCGGTATTTTGCGCTCACGAGTCCTAGTTGTTCCTGTTTTTGGATCATGACTATGCTGTTGTGCCCAGAAATCTGATCGAATTTCTACGCGAATTACCCGCGGAAATATTGCCGAATGTGAGTTTTGGTATTTTTGATCAAGGCCACCGTGTCTCACGACCCTGGAAGTATTCTAGCAATCAATGTGCTATATCCAAAAATGAATTTCCATGGGACTGTTATCTTGCCTAATTTGGAAGGCATCCATATAGCAAAAGATTAAATGTGGTGACAGACCTAGCGATCGGCTCGGCATTCGTTTGTTCACTGCGAGTGGAATATGCTCATATGGACATTCTGCGTGACAAGATGTGAATACCAACCTATGCAGTGAAACATTTTGTGAATAAGGTGTGGCCAGTTAAGGCTCTTCAGAAAATAACCAATGAAAATTTCTGGTATATGTGGAGATTTTTCAACTGGACAACCGGTGAGATTATCGAACATTGATCCGTTGATAAACTATTCTCCCAGTAAAAATACGACCACCTATTGCACCGTGTACACCGATTGCCGAACAAATTTATCTATTTCAAACGAAAAACTTTTAGTCATTTAAAAGATTTGCGATAGATTTTACCCGGGTTTTTCTCAAGAAGAACTTGGATATCCGCGAACAGATATATTAAGTTTCTCATAAAGGGCCACCCCAAAATAGTGCATTTGTTGTTCACCAATACTCGGATCAGTTTCGGAACCAAATATTCTCGTCCTTGTCAGTCTATTATCCCCACACACACTGATGACTCTATCGAACAATAGTTGTTGTATATAAATAGAGAAACTATGGATTCCTCCTCTATAACCTATTTTAATGGTCTCACAAAATCTTATCTCAACCCGAACATCACACCCGAAACACAGCATTGACCGAATGAATTCCGGGAGTTACGAAAAACATTATGTTGGATTTTTGCTTGCCATCAACCTCAGAAGGTTCGTTCCAGGGTTTCAATTTCTCATTTTCACAGTGGAACGCACAGAGGAATTGGGTTCAGTTTTTGCGCAGAATTTTCCAGCACAGACAAGGCAAATGCAGCCGGAGTTGAACGGTCCAAATATGGTTTCGATCCATTCGTGGTGCCAATCCATCGACACAATTGAGAAGTGAACCCGAAGCGTACGCGTAGAACCCGAGCATATTACCCGGGTTGTGTTGAGGATGAAAGTAAAACAACAACCAAGAAACAATATAGCCTTTGCGTGTATAGTGGCTGTCGTTCAATATGTAGGCTAAGCCGTTCCTCTTCCGTCAAAGCACTAATCGTTTGTATATATCCGATGTGTATATTGCAGTCAATATTATTGTTAACAACTTTGAAGAACGAATCTGCCTGTCGGTAAAGAGAGCTGTGCAAAATGTAAACGAAATACGATTCTTTAGGTGACATAATGTCGGGTGATCGAATGTTAATAGATAATATAACGTAATAATGTATTTTTACTTCCTTTTTAGTTTTATTGAATATACAAATGTACAGTCAACATTCAGGAAGCGGGCTGCGGCCATACAGAGGCTGCCTGAGGAAATACAGAAATGAAAAAGACGGGCGGCGTTGGAGCAGTTGGAACCCAGAACTTTCGGTTCACAATTTGGTGACCTAACCACTTGACCACCACATTGTTAAATTGAGAAAATTGATACGTATCATGTGATCAGAAAGAAAAAGTCTAGTAGTTGAATAATCGTTACAGTGATGGGCTCATCAGAAACTCATCGCAGACTAATTTCGTGAGAAATATATAGCTGGAAGGGGAATGGAGAGCGAAGTGGTTCAATTAGCTTGTCTTGGCTATGTCAAACGTAAAAACAATGCGTTGGTGACAACGTTTCGGCCCCCCTCGTAGGCCTTTCTCAAGTCCTTCCGGGTGAGTCGAAAATTTGTCCACAACGCCTTGTGTTTTGCTTTTTTTCGTTCGTCGTGGCTCAGACAAGTTAATTTCTTCCATAACCATGAGCACAACGTCCAAGGTTTTCAGTGAGATCCGTTCCAACCATGGATCTCGTGTGAGGTGGTACAAGTTTTCTTTTTACAGGAATGAAAGATGGATTCTGGCAACCCAGAGAGTGGTTCCATTGATTTAGTGAACTGTGTACTCGTGTAGTAGGCCCAATGCTTCTTACTTCCCACAAAACTACATGAAAGACCTAATTAAGTGGAAGTCCGGAGTTTGGCCTGAGTCAACAGAAGGTGTATACGGCGTTTTTGTTTGTTACTTTGAATGTGAACAACTTGTGTGACCGTGCGTCTAGATCATATTGCCGTGAACTGCGTTTTGGATTCTGTTCGTGGTTGTTTTAGGCGGTTCTGTAGGGGATTAGCTCTATGAGATCTATGTCATTAGTGATCTAATGCTTCAAGACAAAGCCAATCAGGAAAAGAAGCGCTTTGCCCGTTGATTGGCCGAGTCACATTCCTGAAAATTGAATCATTCTTTATTCAGGAGAAGAACCTTAAATGAAAAACCAATGAAATGAATGAAGAATGCAGTGTATAAACGATCGATAAAGCTCTAATGCTCTGACCCAATCAGCATTCACCTGATTAAAACGGGAATCGTGTTAAAAAAACAGAACTTTAATTATTCTGTATGGGTTGAGTCAGTGAATTACTCTAGTTCAAATTATTCGATCGCCTTACCTTTTCTATTTGAATTGAGCTGGAATTTTGCGGACTCATTATTACGTCTTGTCAGTGAGGATTTTCCGTAAGTGCTAATTAGTCGATTTTGATCAGATCTGCGAGCCCTGATCTGCGTTTGGTTCAAGTGCTTTAGGTTCTCAGTTGCGAATCCCCGGAGATGTTTGCGGAACTGCGTTTATGCTGAACTCTGATGCTCCTCCAGACAAAAGTAGTTAATCACATCAACTAATCAAGTAATTTTATAGCAAGCAAATACAAACATGTAACACTGAGTAGGATGTGAAATAACCCGTGGCGGATTTATAAATACGGTAGTAACATTGAGAGTTGTCAAAATCAACTGAACTGAGTTCCCACGGGAGTTGTTCTTCGATGGATAGGTTGTACATCATTGAGATAAACAACAAAATCAGAGCTATGGAAAATCGATTCACGTAGCTTTTGTGAACTGAATTCATTTTCATCTGTGCCAAGCCCAAAAGAACAGGCGAAAATGAACATCAGAGCCAGTCACACCATTCGCATTGGACCTGTGTTGTGCCAGTTATGCTCACCCAACAACAAAGCATCCATGTAAAAACAAATTTCACTCACTTTGCACAAGATTCTTAGCTGGTGGTAGAGTAGCGAAACGGTTAGCTTTTTCTATGCAAACTGGATGCGCAACAGTTAAGCATGGAATATTGATCTACAACGTTTCAGTCTGCTTGAGCTAAATCAAAGCCATAAGGTTTTTGCACCATTGCACTCAGTGGACTGGTTAATATTCACCAATCACGTTCTAATTTGATCACGTAACTCAGTCTGGTTCAGGGGATAGATCCTCGCAGGATAAGAAAAGATCAAGTTCATCCTCAGCAACGACGTCACATAATTGTCAGCAGTTGTGTGCATGCTTTGCCACCACACACTGACCCACCTGTCACCATCTCACAGTGAATTAATCAAAACTGGATGAGATATTTGTACGCGACATGCCGCATGCGTATAGCATCAAAGATCAATAATTCGGAGGTGAATAAAAGCTGTCGTTCCAAACTCTCATTCAATAATGTTCTGTATTGATCTGTCAGATTAGCTGGTCGTGTTTATTTACATTTCGGATCAATTTCGTTAGACACACCTGAGAAACAAAAATTCCGGTTTGGCGTTTGTTCTTAATAATTTCACTCTGCGTTTCACGTCGTTGCATAGAGTAATTCTTCTCGTTCCAAGTTTTGAAATGCCCGCAAAATCCATTGCATAATTTTGGATTCGTGTATCATCATTCACTTTTCTCAAGTAAACTACACATACACTTAAATCCACGCTTCTAACAAACAATAGAAGTATTGATTGTACAAACTAAATTCCCTCTTTATGACCATATATATATCCTCGCTTTCTATAGGCGAGCCTTTGAATCGACTGGTATTCCAGGGAATTGTCCCTAGGAGCTAATGGTAATAAGTTCTGTTTTGTTTTACCCAATGGTTGAGTGTACACGACAAGAATTGCTTATTCCTATCAAGAACCGTAAGTGACCTTTTTAACAGACAGCTCCTGCACATGCACATATACACACACCTCAGAAGAGGACAGCTTCACTATTTCCTTTTTTGTTAAGCAAAATGGTTGAATTCACTTTTTTACTTGATCACCGTGTGCATATAAATACATGTAGCATGGTTGAGAAAACGTTGTTGATTCATTGATGACACATCTACCGGGATTAGAAAGTTTTCAGAAAGGTTGGTCCTGGAAGAAAGATGACTGGAGGCCGATTGGTAATCCACAAATACCACACTTGTGTGGTTGGCATTTTCTTCAAGTGGACCCA